ATATCTTGATAATAAGGAAGAAAGCGATGTAAAGAAATTGAAAGATTTAATAAATACACCAAATGATTGTATTATTTTTAATAATGAAAGTATACATGCTTTTTAATACATGTATGTGTGTGTACATTTTTTTCTTCTCTTCTTCCTCAAATTTACTGCTACATTTCCTTCTCATTTCATGTATTTTCATTTTTATTTTCGTGTAAACTTTTCATTTTTACTGTCTATGATACGAAGTGTATTTGAAAATAGGATGATAAAGTATAATTTGTTGTGATAGTTTGTTGTCATGGTTAAATTGATCGTTGCGCATGCGTTCGTTGATATTATACTGTGTACTTTACAATGTGACTACGAGCAGTGGCTTTTTAATCACAAAACTATAGCAGTCCATGTTGAATCTTCAGAAACTTATTTATTCAGAATTTAAATACTGAAATCATTTCAGATATTTTGCATAATCTAGTAAATAAAGGAACAAAATAATAAAACAATACAAGAACAGAAGACTGCTTTCAAATAAATTTTAAATATTTTTACTTGGTAGTCTTATTTTAGAAAGTATAAAAGAAGATTATATTTTGGTTCAAAATGTCCCTGCCACTGTCGAGGATAGATTATGCAGCTGTTGGTGTTACATCTAGAGGAACCACCAGGGTTTTTCCTGCAAAAGAACACAAACAGACTCAAAAATTCGCTGTTGCTGATCACGATGGCATACTCCATGTATACGGTGAATTTTGTTCTTCATCTTTTAGAGAGAATTTAAATTAAACTTTTCGAATGAAACTTGGACAATCAGTTGTTATTTCTACGTCTCTTGACTTTCTTAACAAGGTGTGAAGAAAGGAGAGCTGCAGGTATCGTTCAAGTCCCTGCCAGGACAGAGAATTAACAAACTAGTTCTCGGTGGGACTGGGCACGATAAGATTTACATCGCACAAGGAAACACTGTGAAGGGATATACCAAAAAAGGAAAATTGTTCTTAGAATTCGATACAAATCTTATAGATCCTATTTCGGCACTGTGAGTAGATCGAATGGAGAATAATTAAAGTTTAAAGTAACAGTTAATTTACAAGAAACATTTTACAAGTAGAATAAAAACTTCTCCACAGGTATGTGCTTGGTCCGGATTTAGCAGCATGTGCAAGAGATCTGTACCATAGATATCACGATTGCAAGGATGCTGACTCCTATCTAGCTGGTGAAACTTTATACGACGTGATTCTCCTACCTACTGACGGCTCCTTCATTTTCGCCATACTAGCTTGCGGGGATTGTGCTGTAAAAATTTTAATCCACGAGATTCAAACCCTATAGCATATAAGCCAGCATCGAAAAGCTTATGAATCGGCTACTATTCAATTTCTCATAATGCATAATCATTTCAACTCTTTTTTTAAGAAGCATCGGCCTCAATGTTATAATACATTCAATATTATAATACATATAATAATACATATAATACATATAATAAACATATAATACATATAAATACATATAATAATACATATAATACATATAATAAACAATGTTATAATACATATAATAATTTTTCAATTATCATGTTTGTTTGACTAGTTTCATTCCTTTTAGATACGAGTCCTTCATGGTACCAAGGTTCCAGCAGTTCTTCGACTTCCAAGTGTACCCACTGTATTGTCTCTCTACAGGTTCTCAAACTCTTTATACTATTATATATGTTTTTCATTTCCTTAATATTCTCTAAGTCTTTTTTTTAACCTTTTTGTAGGGAAGGTGACGTTGAATCTAAAGAACGTGTTCTAGTGGGAACAATGGATGGTAAAGTGGGTTTGCTGATTCTTCAAGGCAACAAGACACTGAGAATCACTTGGCTTCTGAACATGACAAGCTCAGAAATCACGTCTTTGGATACTTATGAGCTGCAGGATGGATTAGATATACTTATTGGTAGACAGGATGGTACCGTTGAAGTATACACTTTTCCCGAAGAAGACATGTTACCATCGCTGCGTTGTCGTTACGTAGGTGTAGCATGTTGAAGTGTTTGGTGCTTCCAATTAATCCCTTTAATCGTGATCAAGTTCCTAAGAAGAATAATTTCACAGAACGCCAGTGAAAGTATTAGTTCGGTGGTTGGGGGGATAATTGGTGCAGTAGGATATCCTGAAGTACTGGTTACTACATACTCAGGACGAATATTCGGCTTGACTACTAAACCTCCTGGTCTTTTAGAAGCTGACCAGAATGACGGTTTGATCAAGCTAAAAGTTGAAGTAGAACAGTTGCAGGAAAAGTTGAAGGAAGAGAAAGAAGCAGCTAGTTTCTCAGTTGATCCCTTAGCACCATTGATTCTGTCTGTTAATCACAGGTATAGAATTGAATGAATCAATTCTCATTCACAAAGAAAACATCAATCGAAGCTTGTTTCTTGCAGGATGACTTTAAACAGAGAGGATGTGTCATATTCTCTTTTCATAGAACTCGATACACCTATCGATAACATTTTAATACAATCAAACACTCCGATTGTGTTACTGGACGTGGAAAGTAATAGCGCAGTAGTCAGTTTGTCCACTTGTAATCCTAGAGAAGGCAATTTCGTTCTTGCTACTTATCGTTGTCAAGTAAATACAAGTAAATCCAGTTATTGTTAATAGTCAGATTGAATGATTCAATATTTCCTCCTTTGTAGATTAATACCAATCATCTTGAAATGAGGTTGAGAACTATAGAAGGGCAGCCTGGTACTTTACAGATTTACGTCACTTCACAAGTATTGATTGATTAATACAACATTACTACGTAATGTGTAATCAAAATGTAATCCTTTTTCTATTCAGGTACAACCAAAGTGTTGCCGCAAGTTATCGATACCTATACCTGCTCTTTCTCTTCACGTACGACAGCATGAAGTCGAAAATCCTGAAACTCGCACTGAAGGGCCCTTCAATGCACTGAGGTTAATCGGGAGTTTCACGATTGCAGAAGTAAAGTCTCATTTTTTTCTCTTTTTTTTGTAATAAATTTGTTACATCTAACGCCTGCATGATAATAAACCCCTCCATACGCCAATGTTTTATGAGTTGACAAACGTTCAAAGATCCTAATAACAAATTAAGTTTTCTGCTTCTAATTCTGCGTACACATTTTTAGATGCACGCGTGGCTGTCCTTCGCATTACCGGATGTGCCAGAAAGACCACTTTTGGAAGAGGGGGAAGCTATTTTGACATACGTCTCATCTTTCATTGGATCAGTCCTAAAGTGCAGATACAAGTAAGTTTCACGGAACGTAAATGACAATAACGTTAAATGCAATTTAATATTTTGCTGACTGTCAGGAAAGGAAGTGCAGTTTTCTTGGGTGAGAACATCTCTACTATCATAATTCTCAGGGACATACTGACCCGAGAGGCAACGAAAAGGAAGATCAAATTAGACGTCTTCTGTGGTATATTTTCATCACAAAATCAATTGTTGCTCTTATCTTCAGACTTCTTTTCTCATAATTCTTTCGCAGATGTTTCTGACGGTAGCATATCCAGAGTGTTGGAGTTAGTTTTCCCGCAGTTGAACGCTGTTGACGATCTAATTACAAAAGTGAAGATCTTGAATGCTCTTGAGGAATGGGAGTTGAAGGAAAATCCGAAAGAAAATCTGTGCACGGAGTATCAGGAACTGTTGCAAAAGGAGTCGGAGATCAAGTCCCAGATGGCGAAGGACAGTGAGCTAATGGAGAGGCTGCATGCAGTAATTACAGATCTCTACGTCGATTGGGAAAGAGCTAAACGTTCTCGTAGGTGTGTATCGACAAATAATTGTCTAAAAGTCAACAAAATTTTGTCCTTTGAAGAATTCAATACTCTGAACCTTCTCATTTCACCAGCTTTTATTCGAGTGAGAGAACATCAGTTTAAAATATTAATCTTTCATTTCTTTTTTTTTTTTTTTTTAACCATATTTTTTAAATCCGTAAAACATAATATATACAATGAAGCAACATCCAAATGAATTAACAAAAAATCTCGTTATTGTTCTTTTTTCTATCAATAACAAAACTAAAGGATCCATTTGTGTCACATACTATAAATGATGGGATTCAATTAGAAAAGGAACAGAAAAAGAAAAGAATTGTGAAATTGCACCTAGATCTGTACCCTATGTGTTCTCAGAATCGGTAGCAAAGACGCCGCGGAGAAGCTCGGCGCAGCTCTCAAGTCCAGAGAATTGGCTCAAGTTTTACAAGTGTTTGTAGACGCTAGTAACACGGTGCCTGCACCATCTTCGTGTAAAGACTGAGCTACGAACATCTCGCACTGATGGAAAATGCAATAAAAGTGGACCACAGTATTCTTATAAATGCGTTCACGTAAAAAATATATTTCTTTATCAACGACGATTCGCGGATATAAATGACTAACTTAACTACGATTAAGAAATGTACATTTACAATAGGTGATCTTGATTATCGTTAAGTATTGTACAATTTATATGTGTATTTTATCTGTATACGTGTATACGGATGTGTGTATGCATTTGTGCCTATGCATATACATATTTTCATCTAATTAAATTGATATTACTTTTTTTTAGAAGTTGTATGCTACACAGATTGTCCCGAATTTAATTGTCAAAATGTCAGGATTATGTGTGGAACTGAAAGAAAAAGTCCTTTGCTCGTTTTTATAAATATCAACTCTTGAGTTGTTGAATGAACTTACTGACTAAATGAGGAAATGAAAACATTTTACTTATTTATTTATTTATTTTTTTTTT